CCCTCGCGGGGGATCGTCCCGAGCCGGGCCCGCGGCCGCCGTGACCTTGTGGCTGTATCCCAAGCTGCCCGCCTGCTTGCCGCGGTGCACGGACTGGATCCTGGTGGCCGCCGCCTTCTCCTCGTCGGTCCTCCGCGGCTGGTCCTCTCGAGGCCCCCGCCCTGAGGCATCTCAGAGCGATCGCCGATGACCGAGGGAGCACGAGACCGGAGAACTCCAGAGACCTCTAGAGGCCTGCAGAGGAGGAGGAGGAGGAGGAGGAGGAGGAGGAGGAGGAGGAGGCGGAGGCGGAGGGAAAGGAGGAAGAAAGTTGGCATCTTGGGATATTGTGCCTCTTCAGGGCTTCGTGAGGTCCTCTTTGGGTATTGGTGCGGCCACAGAGGCAATGATGAGGTCTCCAAAGGGGTGCTTCTTGGGCTGTCCGAGCGCCTTCTTCAGACCGCTGGCTCTACTGCTACTGACCCTGCGGCTGCTGGTGCTGCTGCTGTTGCTGATGCAAGGTCTCGGGACACACACACACACACACACACACACACACACACACACACACACACACACACACACACACACACACACACACACACACACACACACACACACACACACACAAAACACAAAGAAATCACACAGACATGCACACACACACACACACGCACACGCACACGTTTGGCGGGGTCGCGGCCTCGTGCGCAGCGACGAGGCGGAGTAAGGTTGAATCGCCGATACTTTTTTTTGATTCTCTCTCTCTCTCTCTCTCACACAAACCTACACACCTACACACAAACACACACACACACACACATGCACGCACGCACGCACGCACGCACGCATGTACGCTCGCACGCACACTGTTTGGTGTCGCGGCCCCGCGCAAAGCGACAGGGCAGAGACAAGTCATGGGGCGTCGAGCCGTTGAAGCGCCCCTGAGGCCATCATGGGTCAGAAAGTTTGGTAACAGTACTTTAAGTTTGGGCTGCCTGGGGCCTTGCGTGCGCTCTAGAAGCCCCTAGGACCGTCTTGAAAGCCTCTTCTGCTGCCCTGGCGGCCTCCCGTGGGTTTGTTTCCCCACATCACCAGCGCCTCCAATTGGTTCACTATGGGCTCCAAGGTAGCTCCTGTTGACCCTGTAGTCCAGCTCCCGAGGGGGAGAAGGAGGAGGAGGAGGAGGAGGAGGAGGAGGAGGAGGAGGAGAGAGGATGAGGAGGTAAGATGAGGAGAAAGAGTGAGGAGAGAGAGGAGGAGGAGGAGGAGGAGAGGAGGACGAGGTAGGAGGAGGGGAGGAGGAGGAAGGAGGAGGAGGAGGGAGGATGAGGAGGAGGAGGAGGAGGAGGAGGAGGAGGAGAGAGGCCACGAGCGCATTCCCAGACCCCTCCACGAGCAAGTTCTCCAGCTTCAGGCTGACGCGCCGGTCGGAGCGCCCCAGCTGGACCTCGAAGCTGCCCTTGGCCTCGTGGAACTGGACCACCACGCCCTTCTCAGGCGCGTCAAAGGACACTGGGGCTACCTCACCGCCCGCTTCCCCCTTGGGGTCCACCCTACCCCCCCCTCTCTCCACTGCTCACGCATGCGCCTTGGCATCAATGATCGATACCATCAACCAAGCGACTCCAACGTAGGACCCATAGGGGCCGATCCGGAAGGAAACAACTTATGGGGCGTGCCGAAGAACCCTGGGGGGGTAGTTTCCGCGGAAGTAAATAATCGCTGGAGAGGGGTTCGGGCACGGGGGTAACCCCCGTCCCAGATTCAGCCGCGGGGGTTCTCGCACACGAAGTTATGCCCCCCCCCCGCCCCAGGCGCAACCCGAGGAGGCAAGGCGCGAGAGCCCAGATTGTAAATAATGCAGCAACACTCAAGTAGCAGCAGCTGTACTGGAATTGTACTAGCACTCGTTGCACTGTCATAGCTTGTGTTACTGTGGTACGACTTGTATTAGGCAGTAGCAACTTGACTCTAATGCCATTTGTACTCTAGTGCCACCTGCACCCTGGTACTGGTCACACTCGAATACACTTGCACTCTCGTGCAAGTTGAACTTTAGCTTGAATGGGCGGGCGCTGAAGAAAGAACTCCTTGCGCCGCCAGGGGTCCAAGGCTGAACGGTTCGCCGCAAAGAAGGACCCCCCGCGGAAGGAAGACAAGAAATCTGGCCGGGGGGGTGGGGGGTCAAGGCATGGATAGCGGAGGTGATGAGATACTGGCGGATTTCGGGCCTACGAGCGCACAGGTACACGATGATCTCTGGCCTCTATGGGGCACGATATCTAAAACGAAAGTGGTATGTTCCCCCGAAGCGCTGGCAACAGCATCCCGAGGATGACCGAACTCGGCCAGGGTTTCGACACCCCTCGCTGGCCTGTGGGCGCAGGACCTGGTCAGCGGTGGCGTTATATCACCATAGCATGTCGCAGCCTGTCGTGGTGAGGGGTTGCGAGTGAAGATGCATCTGGCGTGCCCACGAACAAGCAGAGACAGGAGGGTGTAGAGGAAGAGGCGGAATAATAGGAGGAGGGGGAGGAGGAGGAGGAGGAGGAGGAGGAGGAGGAGGAGGAAGAGGTGGAGGAGCGCGCGATGGGGAGGTATATCATCAGCAGCTGCAGCAACTTCGGCGGCGGGCGGCGGTGGCAGCAGCAGGAAGAGGGCGGAGAATCGTCTTCGCACCCCTGAGGTCGAGCCCGCTTGCGACCGCCTGCGGGCCTTCTGGCCGTTGAGCGCGCGCCCCGCCGGCGTCGCCAATCCGACGACCTCCACGCTGTCGCCCGCCTGCCGCCGCGGCGATCCGGCGGCGCGCGCACGCCGCGCCCCCCCCCCATCCTGGCCGCCCCTCTCCGCCGCCCGCGAGGGCCCAGCTGGCAGCCTGACCCGCACACCGAAGCCCCGAGCGCCGCGGCCGACGGGGCAGGCCGGCGCGGGCGCCCGCCCGCCCCCCGCGCAGCGGGTCCCCCTGGGCTGCGGCGCCGGGCCCGAGGGCCAGGCGCGCCTCGCACCGCGTCCTGGCCCCCCCGGGCCCGCTGCGTGAGGCATCGGGAAGCGGCCTGGGGCTGATGCTAGCACCCAAGAGAGGTGGCGTCGCCTCTCCGGAGGCCCGAAGGATCAGCCCACGGATCGAAGGCTGGGGCTGCTCATTACCCTTGGCCTCGACGGAGCGTTTTACGCTCTTCACCCACGGGGCGCGCATCTCTTTCAAGTCTGCGGAGCCATTGCTGGCTCTCCGTTGGATGTCGGTGTGACGGCAGCGACTGGGCAAAGCCCTCAGGAGCGAAGCGGAGAAGAAGCGTGATTACAGCCGAGAGCACCACCATGCTTCCCGACGTGCTTCCCGTGTGATCTGCCATTCCTCGCCCAGCCTCTCCGAACACCATATGCAACATATGCAATCGCGCATGCGTCCAACGCTTCCTCCTGGGACAGGTCGGGCCCCTCGTGGGAGAGGGGGGGGGGGGCGTGCGGCCGCCGCCGAGGCGGGTCGCCCCACAGCCGCGACCATGGCCCCGGGCCACTCGCCTCCCCGCCGTACCTCCGGCGGATGGCGTGTTCCATCTCCGTGCGCGCTTCCTCCATCTCGGTCCCCTGTGCCTCTTTCGGGCCGCTGGCTGTAGCTGAAAACTGCTGAACAAGAATCCCTAGGGAAAGGCTTGGTACGACCTTGCTTTTACGGCTTGAGGAGCGTCCAAGGTGGCCCAAGATGGCCCAAGAGGCGCCCAAGAAAGCGCCAAGAGTTCACGCTGGGCTCTCGCCGTTGTCGCCATCGGTTTTCGTCTGTCGTTCGTCGTCCGTTCGCTGGCCTCGGTCGTCGTCGTCGTCCGTCGTCGTCGTCGTCGTCGTCGTCCGTCGTCGTCGTCGTCGTCGTCGTCGTCGTCGTCGTCGTCGTCGTCGTCGTCGTCGTCGTCGTCGTCGTCGTCGTCCTCCTCGTCTTCGTCGTCGTCATCGTCGTCGTCGTCGTTGTCGTCGTCGTCGTCGCCGTCGCCGTTGCCGTCGCCGTCGCCGTCGCCGTCGCCGTCGGCCGTCGGCCGTCGGCCTTCGGCCGTCGTCTGTCGTCCGTCGTCCGTCGTCTGTCGTCCGTCGCTGTATGTTCGTCAACGTCTGTCGTCGCCGCCGCCGCCGTCGTCGGTTCTCCGTCGGTCGTCGTCGCGGTTCTCATCTTCCCCCGCCCCCGCCTGCGCCTCCGCCTCCGCCTCCGCCTCCGCCTCCGCCTCCTCCTCCTCCTCCTCCTCCTCCTCCTGCTCTGGCCCTCCAAGGCGCGGAGGCTCACTCTTGACGCCCCTCCAGCAAAGAGCGCGCCAGCGGAACTCCTGCGCCTCGCGGTCGGGAACTTCTGGGGCAGCGTGTCGCAGCGGCGGAGCGGAGCGACACGCTGCCCCAACCAAAGCTACCCACCATACCCCCTGGCGGCACCTCACACCGCCACCCCAGGCTTCCGACACCGTGCTGTTCTTCTGTGGGACGCGGCGCGGGCCCCGTGTGGATCTCTCGGCCCAGAGCCCCCCTTGGAGACCGGCCTCTCTCTCCTCGGGCCGGCCCCATTGATGGCCCCGCGGGAGAGACCGCCCGCCGTGGCTTCGCTCGCCGCACTGTGGATAGAAGAAGAAGAAGACGAAGACGAAGAAGAAGAAGAAGAAGAAGAAGACGAAGAAGAAGGAGAAGAAGAAGACGAAGAAAAATACGAAAAATAATACGAAGAAGAAGACGAAGAAGAAGACGAAGAAGAAGACGGAGAAGAAAACGAAGAAGAAGACGGAGAAGAATAAGAAGAAAACGAAAAAGAAGAAGAAGAAGAAGAAGACGAAGGAGACGAGGACATCCCACGAACATTACTGTCGCTTTCGGAGGCCCCGCGCAGCGCGCCTGGGTCGGCGCTGGGCCGCTCCCCCCGGGATGCGCAGCGCGCCTGTGGCGGCGCCGGCGGCGCCGCCAGGGAGAGGCGCCGCCGGGGTGCGGCCCCTGCGCCGACCCCAAGAGATCCGAGAAGGCCTCCGAAATTTGTCGCCAGGGAGAGGCACCGCCAGGGCGGCCCCTGCGCCGACCCCAAGACATCCGAGCAGGCCTCCGACATTTTTATGTCTATGCCGCTTTTGCTACTTCTCCCTTCTCCTAGTTCCCCTCCTCCTCCTCCTCCTCCTCCTCTTCTTCTTCTTTTTTCTTATTCTTCTTCTTTTTCTTCTTCTCCTTCATCTTATGTTTCTTCTTCTTCTTCTTCGTCTTTGTCGTCGAATGTCGGCTGTTCAGAGGTGGGGCCCTGCGGGGTGGGGCCCCAAGGACGAGCGGCCTCAGGCAGCGAAGCTTCAGCCTGGGAGCCCTTTCGCACCCTCAGGGCCCCACTTTGGGACCGCCCAGCTTGACTGGGGGCCCGTGAGGGGCAACGATCTGGGGGTACTGGCACAGGGGTGGAAACACCGACCTGGAATCGGCGGTACAGCGCCGATAGATCGCCGATAGGCCCCCTATAGCGAAAGCGCGCGTTCATGGGGCGGGGTGGGCCATGGGGCCCCTATCGGCGATCAGTGGGCGCTGGTGGTCGATGCATCCCACCCTCGAGCCCGTCCCCCGTTTCGTTGCCCCTCAAGGGGGCGCCTCCGCGCTCTCCTCCTCCTCCTCCTCCTCCTCCTGCTCCTCCTCCTCCTCCTCCTCCTCCTCCTCCTCCTCCTCCTGCTCCTCCTGCTCCTCCTCCTCCTCCTCCTCCTCCTCCTCCTCCTCCTCCTCCCTCCTCCTCCTCCTTGACAGCGCGGGCCCGCGGAGCTCCGCCGGAGGAGGTGCCGCGCGCGCGGCGGGCGCGAGGCGCGCTCCTTCGGGGCGGCGGCCGCCATGGCCGGCCGCCCGAAGGGGCCCGCGCCGGGCGGCACTGCTGCGGCTCGTCCTCGGCCATGGCCGCGGCTGCGCCCGCTGCGCGGCAGAGCCGAGACAGAGCGCCCGGAACTGTTGCATGGTGGCGCCAGCTGCTAGGCACCAACTGAAACTCACACAACTGCTCGCGCTTGGCTCCAAAGGAAAAGCGACTGACTTACTCATGGAACTCACTGCGTGGACCTCGCACTTCGGCCTCAGACTCGAGATGGTAAGCCCACACTTCCGTTCGCATCTCTCCACAGCTCCGGCGCTTAAGTTGTTGTCGTGTGTCGCCGTCGTTGTTGTCGTAGTCGTTTCTTGTTGTTCGTCGTCGTCGTCGTCGTCGTCGTCGTCGTCGTCGTCATCGTCGTCGTCGTCGCCGTTGTGTGTTCGCCGTCGCTGTCGTTCGTTGTCGTTCGTTGCTGTCCCCTCCCGCCCTCCCTCGGGCGCCCCCCCCCCTCCCTCGGGCGCCCCCCCCTCCCCGACACACGACACACGGCAGAGCTCCACGGGGTAGAGAGAAGACCTGTTTCAGTCCACGGGCGCCACGGTGTGCGAGAGGCGGTCAGGCGCCGGTCAAAGCGAGCGGTGGGCTGCACAGGAAGCGCATAGATGCACGAAGCAGACGAGCAGGAGGCGAGAAGAAAGGACAGAGACGGAGCCCGAGCAGACCATGCAGGTCGGCGCGGGCGTGCCGGAGAAGTACATGCAGGCAGAGAGAGCAGGCACAGCACCCTCAGAGTGAGCACCCCGACAAACGAAGCCGTGCAGTGCTCAAGGGGCCCAAGGACACACAAATAAATACACACAAATAAAAAGAATCCCAATCTTTTCTTATATTTTTGGGGTTTTTGTCTTCCCCCCCACTTCCCATATTTTCCTATATTTTTTGGGGAATCGACGATTAATTGTGTCTGTGTTTTTTTTTCCCTCCTGAAGTGCACGCACCCAGGGAAGGAATCCACAGGTGCAGGCCTGTCCAGTACATGCCCAGGGCCGTTTCGCAAACGCACGGGGCCGCTCGGGGCGTCGGGCAGAGCTCCCACCCAGAGGACTGTCTTTCCTCGGGCCGCCAGGTCAACTTTCGTGCTCGCGGCGGACGCCAGAATGACGGTCGAACCTCCATTCACGCGGTCAACCGACAAAACGGCGGTCCGACCGCCAAAACGGCAGTACAAAAAAAGGGGGATGAGCACAGCGTGCCAGGGTGAGGGGTCGGTCCGATGCTTCGGTGCGCCAAAGCAGCCTGAAGCTGCGCAGAGACCATCCGCCTCGGGAAAACATGCAAACTAACAAAAATGGGTATCAGCCAAAAGAGGCTCGGCTCCCCCTGCAGGGGCGGCCGAGCCTCTTCTGGCCGATCCCCTCCCCCACCTGGCATGGCCTCGGTCCAGCGGGCCGCCCTACCCCTTCAAGTGGGGATGTGTGTATGCTGCTCCTTCCGGGTTGTTGGGGGGGGCTGCCAATCTTTTCCCTTATAGAGAACTCCTCCCTGTCGCGCCCCGAGGCCAGAAGAAAGGGGCGGGCCGGGCTTTTCGCCTGAGACTTCCTCACAATGTACAGCCCTGAAGGGTGAAATTTGCAGCAGCTTCACGGATGGAAAGCAGGGGGTTTTCAAAATGTGGCCCTCGCCTTAGCGCCGTGCACATTCGTCTTAAATGTTTGTAGCACCTTCACAGATGCAGGGCGGGCCGTTTTCAAAATGTGGCTATCGCCTTGGCGCCGCGCACATTCACTTACAAGTTTGCTACAGTTCACGGATGGAGGGCGGCTCCTTTTCAAAATGCGTCTCTCGCCTTAGCGCCGCGCACACTGGCGTCAAGAAATTACAATCGTTTCAAACATTCTCATAGTTAGCATCCCAAACACAGCGCTTTGACACGATGTCAAACTGTCAGGGCGCAAAAGTTGAGTTGACTCGTGGTGTGCAAGTCCCACAAGTTGTCTGGCACGATTCAGGATCGCCCCGACGCAACAGTGACGGTGAATCGCGGCGCTGAAGTCCCAGGCGGCCGTCCAGAAGCCTCACCAGGGAGCCCCCAGAAGCCTTCCAAGATCCAGGGGACCAGCAGGATGCTCGAGCCCTGGCGGGCGCTCAAAGAAAGAGGAGCAGAGCGAGACAGCGAAAGGGATACGGAGACAGCGAAACAGATCGAGACAGAGAGAGAGAGAGAACCAGAGCGAGACAGGGAGAGGGAAACAGAGCGAGACTGAGAACGCGAGACTTAGCAAGACAGAGACAGAGAAACATAGCGAGACAGAGAAGCAAACTAGAGCGAGAAACTGAGCGTGACAAAGACGGTAAAGCAGAGCGAGGCAGAAAAAGCGAGGCAGACAAGGAACATAAAGCGAGACAGACAGAGGAGAGGGCGAGAGAGGGAGTGAAACAGCGAGAGAGAGAGAGGGAGACATCAGTCTGGTGTCTTCGTATACAATACAGGGTAAGGAAGGACCGACCACAACGATGTTTAAAACGCCTTAGCGCTTAGAACGAAAAACAAAACGAACCCGACCGTTGTACAACGAACGTTTAAAACGAAACCGGTGCAAACGAAAACGAAAAATGAAAAGACGCCACCGCTCATAGAGAAAACAAAACGAACATCGAAACGAACTTCGCAGACTGCGTTGGAAACAAAACGAAAAACGAAACGAAAACATGGCACGACGGCAGGGGCCAGGACGAGTGTCTGGCTGGGGCTTGAAGCACACACGAAAAACAAAACGAAAAACGAACCACGGCTGCGGCAAGGATTGCAGGGCCCGGGCTGGGACAGACTCACCCTGGGCAAGTCTGCCCCCAAAGGAAGAGAACTCAGGATCACAGGACCCGCCGCCCGCCATCATCATCTTCCCCCTCCTGCTTCTCCACCTCTTCTCCCCTTCCGCGGGAATGCTGTTGTCGCTGGAGGGCGGACCTAAAGTGATAAAGGACGGACGGAGGGGAAAGTATGATCAGGAGGAAGAGGAGGAGGAGGAGAACGATGAAAAAGAGAAAGAGGAATCCAGGGAATAGGAGGAGGAACTGGGCGGGATCATGAGGAGAAGGATGGTGGTGGTGGTTGTCAGGGGGAGGAGGAGGAAGAGAAGGATGACAGCGGGAAGAGGAGTAGAGCCGGAGGAAGAGGCGAACAGGAGAAGGCGAACCGGAGCATAAGGAGGCGGAAGGGAGCTGCTGGAGGAAGAGAAGGACTGTCAGACGATACGCTTCCCTTAATGAGGGGTGGAAGGTCCCCAGGTGGCTGCACCTCATGGATAGCCAAACTCTGTGGTGGGCCCTGTACGCCAGCAGCAGATTTTAATGTACCTGCTTAGGGCGTGGTATGTCGAACTCAGGAGGCCAAGCGTGGGGCTCAGTGAGACTCCCTCTGGCACGGCCTTTCCGCGCTCGCCCAGGCGCGGATCGGAGAAGCGGGGGGGGGAAGGGAAGGGTGACAGGAGCGTGTGCCTTGGGCTGGTGGTCCTCACGCAGGTGCCACCCTCAACCGTCTCCCGCAGGCCCCCGCCTGGAGGGGCACGCCGGGCAGGGGGGCGAGGAAGACGGCTTCGAGGATGCTGCTTTCCGAGGCTTCCGCCGTCTGTCCGACCCCTTGGTGCTTCTCGTCGCCGCGCCTGGACCCAGCTCGAGATTCTGGTCGGAGCGTGCCCTTGGATAGGTCCGGAGGTCAAATTATGCAGCAGGGAGAAAGGAGAAGGAGCAGGAGGAGGAGGAGGCAGAAGGAGGAGAAGGAGGAGGAGGAGGATAGTAGTGACCAGGAGGAGTAACAGTGTAGACCCAAGACGCATCAACGATGTTGCAATGAACCCTTCCTCCGGATTCCCTTTTTATTGGGCCCTACAAGAATTTATGCTCATTGCGGGAAATGCCCCATTGGAAGACAATCCCCTGACAATCCTCAATCGCGCCAAACCGCCATAGCTGGGACTTCAGCGTCGCGAAGCAACGTGACTATTGCGTCTTGACAGCCCCAAATCGTGCCAGAACGCCGTTCCTGGGACGGCAACACCACGAATCAACATGACATGCGGACTGACAGCCCTAAATCTGGCCAGACACCAATCCTGGGACTTGGGCCATGCGAATCCTCGAAGCTGCTGCGCACATTTGAAACACATGTGCGCGGCGCTAGGGCGAGAGCCACATGTTGAAAACTAGCGGCCCTCCATCCTTGAGGCTTTGAAAAATAATGTGCGCTGCGCTATAGCGAGAACAACCTTTCGAAACCGGCCCGCCTTCTATCCGTGGAAATGTTGCAAGCATTTCCAAGATGAAGGTGCGCGACGCTAAGGCGAGAACCACATTTTGAAAACGGCCCGCCCTCCATCCGTGAAGCGGCTGCAAACTTTTAATGCGAATGCGCGCGGCGCGAAGGCGAGAACCACATCTTGAGAACGGCCCGCAACCCATCCGTGCACCTGTTTCGACTGCCAAGCTTCAGGACCATAAATGGTGAGGACGTCTCCGGCGAAACGCCCAGCCCGCACTACCGACATGTATGGGGGTGCGACAAGGAGGAGTTACTCATAAGGGAAAAGCAATGGAAGACGGCGGGAAGAGGAAGAGAGCAGGAGTAAGAGGCGCAGAGGAGTGGAGGCGGAGGAGAGTGGAGGCGGAAGCGATGGGGCAGGCAGAAGAGGAGCAGCAGAAACAGGAGGGGGAGGAGGACAGTTTCGAGGATAGTGGTTTATTCGTTTTGCGCGGTTTTCCGACTCGTGGATGTTTCTCGTCGCCACGACTGGACCCAACTCGAAACTCTGGTCAGAACGTGCCCTTGGATAGGTTCGGGGATCAAGTTTTGAAGGAGGGAGAAAGGAGGAGGAGCAGGAGGAGCAGGAGGAGGAGGAGGAGGAAGAGGGAGAAGGAGGAGGAGGAGGAAGAAGAGAACAGAGAAGGGAGGAGGAGGTGGAGGAGGAGAAGAGGAAGAGGAGGAGGAGGAGGACGACGACGAGGAGGAGGAGGGCAGGATAAGGAGGAGGAGGAGGAGGAGGAGGAGGAGGAGGAGGAGGAGGAGGAGGAGGGGGGAGGAGGAGGAGGAGGCATTCGGGAAGAATCAGCGACTCTCAAGTCTCGACAGGATGGAGCCCTCGGACGACGCGTCGGGAGGGACGAAGCGGACAGGACGAGCACGTGGTTCGTGCCCCGTGACTGCTGCGCTGGACGGTGCCCTGCTCCCCGGAGACCCCCGCGGTGTGGCCCGCTTCCCCTGGGCGGAGGCCTGGCGTTTCCCTCCCGTCCTGCATCGCGGCGCGCGGCCCCTGCCTCCCCCTGGGGAGCGCCTGCGAAGCCTGCGGCGGTGGCGGGGCCACGTTGATGGTCCAGCGCTCGCCGCCTCCAAGCCCCATGAGCTGGGCCTGGGCCACGGATGCAGGAGGCACGGGGCACTCTGGGGGGGGAGGGGGGGGGCGGAGGGGCGCTGCCGCGGACGGGGAAGCAGAGAAGAGATAACGAGAAAGAGAGAAAGAGAGAGAGAGAGAGCGAGGCATGCGGGGGGAGGGAAGCGCAGAGGGGAGAGGGGGGAGATGGGGAACGAGGGGGTGGAGGGTGGAGGGACGGAGATTGCAGGGGGTGTAATGAACTAGAGCTGCACGTATCGGGCTGCTGGACAGAAGGAAAGAAGGATGCTGACCTCTCACGAGCACTCTTGGACTGAATGACAATAGTGGGCGCAGTCGCGCTGGCAGGGCTCTTAAGAAGAAGAAGAAAACGAAGAAAACAATGAGAGCTGGGTCGCCTCTGTCGTCTCATCCTCGATGAGCTCCAGGTTGTCCAGGTCGAGGCCCTGGAGGTCGATGTGGATGTCGAAGCTCAAAGTGCTCGACGTGTCGCTACCATCATCGGCTTCACCTGGACGGTGTCAGCCGCGAACCCACTAACCCACCAACTCGTACAAGCTGGACAAGCGATGAAGAGACGCCCAGAATCCCAAGATTTCAGACTGGCATCTCCGGGGTCAATTTTCTGTTGAATTGGGCCACCGTATGCCACAGTTTTGTACTCATGATAAAAAATGAATCCAAATTTGCAACCACCATGCCGCCTCCGCTAGAAGCCGGGTGTCCAGCCCAAGTGCCTACGGCAGCGGGAGGTACCCATGTTGTTGTCTGGTACCAGCCTTCAAGATGGTTCCAAGAGGGCCCTTGACAGGTCCCAAAGACGCCTCCGAACGGCTCCTGAAAGACCCCAGCAAGCTTCCCAGAGGCATCCAAGTCGCCCCAAAAGTTCCTTGGGACCGCCAAGAGACTCCCAAAACGCTCCAAGAGGCATCTGAGAAGCGCTCATGAAATACCCAAGGAATGCCGAATGGCATCCAAGAGGCCTCTGGCCCTTCTGCTCGCCCTCCTCCTCCTGATCCGCCCGTTCCTCCTCCGTTTACTTACTTGTTTATAGTTTATCCTCCCCCACCTCTTCCTCATCCTCCTCCGTTGTGCCTACACTTCCCTGGTCGTCTCAATTCGCCGCAACAGCCTCCTTTATGCTCGCCCTCCTCTTCCTTCTCATATGCCTATTCCTTCTCCATCTCCTCCTCCTCCTCCTCCTCCTGCTCCTCCTTTTCCTTCTCCTCCTCTTCCTCCTCTTCCTCCTCCTCCTCCTCCTCCTCCTCCTCCATGTCCTCCTCCATCCTCTTCTTTCTCCTCCTCCTCCTCCTCCTCCTCCTCCTCCTCCTCCTCCTCCTCCTCCTCCTCAGGAGGAGTGACCCTAGGCTAGAGTGACCTTTTGTGCGCGGCTTCAGGGGCGCCCGTGGGGGCCCAACGCAATCGCACAAGCCAGCGCTGCCGCGCCGCATCAACGATCGGCGGGGCGCCCGCCACTCGAAAGATTTTTCGTGCCAGCGGGCAACCGCGGAATTCCGCCGATTGGATTTAAGCGCCCCGAATGGTACTGCGAAGGCGCTGCGAAAGCAGACGCTACCGGGGGCCACCTCGATGAGGTCTGGCACTGCCGGGCCGCATCGCGATGACGTCTGACCAAGCCCGGCGCCATGACCAAAACTGGCCCAATCCGAAATCCTGGAATAGATTTGAATATTTTTGGATAGTTTATGATAGTAAAGACCCCATAGGCTCAACAAAAAATAGAGAAACATATATTCGAGGATGTTTGAAAATATCCAGAAATATCCAAAATATTCAAGCCAGACAATCTGGGATTTGGCTGCGATTGTGGACTGGTCCTGGGCCAGAAAACGCGTCGTCTGGTCGACCGGCTCCCCCTCGGGTAACCAATGCAAGCAAACTGTAAGGTGCGACGCGTCTGCGTTGCTGTCGACTGCACGGGGTGGACCCAAACCTGGCGCGGTCAGATGCGAGCGTAATCACGCGATGCGGGTGCCGACGCGAGGTCAAGCTCACACCACAAGAAACCCGACCCCTTTTGGGCCAGCACCAAAGGTCATTCCGGCGAAGGGTCACTCTTACGTGAAGTCGATGTTCCTTCTCCTCCTCCTCCTCCTCCTCCTCCTCCTCTTCTTCTTCTTCTTCTTCTTTTTCCTCCTCCTCCTCCTCCTCTTTGAAAGACAACAGCAGCCCCTTCTCTTGCTCCCACGCTTCCCTGTTCACCGCCACTGCCCTGGGCAACGTTTCTGGGTGGGTTGGCGGGGATACTTTTTTGGTCTGCGGGCTCGCGAAGCACGTCGAAAGCCGTCCAAACACTAGCCGGGCCGCGACTAGGCAGCAAGAAGGGAGGCAAGCAAAGTGAGCGCGCGGGCAGGCACTCAGAGGAAGAAGAGCCAGAAATAACACTCCCAACTCGGTGGCGTGGAGACCCCGGTGGTGACCATCAAGTAGGCGCAGCCGAAAAGGCGCGGCGGCGCGACCATGAACACGCAGAGGTCGATCGCTCGGTGTGAGGGTGACGGGGATACGCGAAGCGTTGAGCAAATTTGAAAACGAGTGTGCACGGCGCGAGGGCGAGGAGCCGCATTTTGAAAACGACACGCCCTCAATCCGTGGAACTATTACGTTCAAACCGAACGTGCGCGGCGCAAAAAGGCGAGGGCCACAGTTCGAAAACCGCCTAGCCTCGATACGCGAAGCCCTTGCAGTTCCAGGAAAACGAATGCACGCGGCGCTGAGACGAGAACCGCATGTTGAAAACCAACCGCCCTCAATCCGCGAAGCTGTTGCCAATTCCTCAGCTCCCGGATTAAAGACGGTAGAAAAATATCAAGCGAAACGCCCGGCCCACCATTCCGACCCGCCTCGGGATGCGACAGGGAGGAATTATGCATAAGTAAAACGGATAAGGAGGAGAAGGAAAAGGAGGAGGAGGAAGAGGAGGAAGAGGAGGAAAAAGAAGAGGGTGATGAGGAGGAGGATTACCCAAGGATTACCCCACGCAGACGATGTCGAGACGCCTCAGAGAGGCTCACTTACGAGGCCTGCCTTCGGATAGACGACAGAGGACTCACAGATCCATCTTAGTGGGGGGCTCGCCCCGCTCACACTTGCACCCTTTACCGAGGTCTCTGACGTGGCCCGACCCCTCACGTGCCCTGCGGCCACACTTCGTGCACACCAAACACGGCCCATAATGCGCCATTGTGTGGATCCAATGAACAATGCGAGAGCCGACTGCAGCACGGGAGCGATTCGGTGGCTGGAGCGGGGGCGGGCCAGGACACGAGGCACAAAGCCAACTCTGCAAGATACGGTTCGACGGAGACTTGCCGATGCTACTTCTGCTACGAGCACACGACCAGCGGGCGGGGCCTTCCTCGACCAGGCTGTGGGAGGTGGCCTGGCTTGAATTCTGGAAGGCTGCGGTGGCGGGTCCTGCGCTGGTGGCGCGCCACCTGCCTGACAGGCGGGGCGCGCTCCTCGGACTGGAAGGCAAGCAAACTGGCACGAGCGACGCGAAGCCTGCCAAGAGACAACACCGAGTTCGCCCACTTGCAGCAGTCCCTGGCCATCGCTCGGACGTCCATTCCCTGTGTTTTTTTCGGTTTCGTGCGTGGTTTCTTCGTCAAATGATCAAGGATGCTCCTCGATGGTCCTCGCCGAAGGAAAAATGCACACGTCCGAGCGATGCCAAGGTCCACCTGGCCCTTGGGGATCTGGCGGGATCCCGCTGCGTCCGCAGCGAGCTGATCAGCAATCGGATCCCCGATCCAGGCTAAATGGGGGACTCCTTTGGCAAGCGTTGTGGATGCCACGGCAATGGACACCCTGACAGTCCTACCATTGAATTTAACATGTGTTTAAAATGTCGGAAAAATGCTCTAGCATGTTTTAAACATGTTTTTACATGTTTAAAACATGTTTAACACATGTTTCAAACATCTGGAAATTATTTGGCAACATGCTTCCTCTCCACTGACCGTCCTCCACAAAGCTAAATGGGGGACTCCTTTGGCAAGCGATCCGTGGGCCTCAAATTCGCTGTTGAGAAACTCAACAGTGACACTTTCAGCTCTGCGCGCGCTCACCTCGGCCCCCAGGGCCTCCCAATAAGGAGGAGGAGGAGGAGGAGGAGGAGGAGGAGGAGGAGGAGGAGGAGGAGGAGGAGGAGGAGCGGCACAGGCAAACAAGGGAAAAGCGAGAAGGCAAAGAACAAGACGACCCAAGAGGAAAGAACCGACAACGGCAACACGAGAGAGATGGAGCGAGATACACCCGCTGCCCCTCGCGAGGGCTACCCCGCACTACGGACAGACTGCAAGTGAAACGCGTACGTATAACGTGTCCGCGTGTCCGCCCCGGACAGAGCACTGTACAGAGAGGCAGGCGGTCAACAGTGGAGGACAAGAGAGAACAAGAGCAACACCACTTGAGACGCCCCCGACCAGGAAGCAACACAAAGTGGGCTGGCCCTCCCCCGGACAACGCGCTTTGCGCGGGGGCGAGTGCCGCCTGCAGGCGACCGTCACGGTCCCAGCCGCGCCGCTCCGTCCGGGAGGAGGTGGGAGGAGGAAAACTACGACGACGACGGCGGCGACGACGACGACGACACGAACGACGACGACGACGACGACGACGACGACGACGACGACGACGACGACGACGACGACGACGACGACGACGACGACGACAACGTCGACGACGACGACGACAACGTCGACGTCAACGTCGACGACGACGACGACATACGACGACAACGTCAACGACGACGACGCGGCGACGACGACGGCAATAACAGCAACGGCAGCGGCGACGACAACGGCGACAAAGACGATGACGGCGGCGACGACGATGACGACGGCCATGGCAACGACCACCTTGCGAACATGAGATTTAACAAGCTGTTTTGAACTTCATTTGTTTCTCCCCCTCCCTTGTGCCCGCCCTGAATCCGTGAACCAACCCCATCTGAGGGGGCTTCTGTTCATACCAGCTCCTTGGAAAGGCACTGAGCATAGCGAGCCTCTCCTGAGCGTGAAAAATCATCCAGCCAGGGCGCGTTGAAGTAAATATTGCGAGGAAGTCTCGCGCGTGAGCCGCTGTCGCCGTAGTCGGGCCTTCGCCGGCTTGACTGAATTGCGCGGGTTTGGGAGCCAGGGCGTCCTGTGAGGACGTATCGAGCAGGAGCCAATGTCGTCGTAGCTTGGCGTTCGCCACCTTGATTGACTTGCGAGGACCTCTCGGGCGACGGCGCCATTCCTGAATTTGGTAGCCTCTCTGGCCGGGGCGTCTCGGAATAACTTTTGAAACAACAATAAGATTATGCAGCTGGAGCCGTGTACCTTGTGGGTCAGCAATCGAACATACTCAGCGGGAGCCGTTGTCGTCGTGGCCGGGAAAAGGGACCCAAGCCCGCGCTCGAGCGGGGGCCTCGTTTCCAGAGAAGATGCAGCAGGCGCCCAGCCGAGGCGAGAGCGCCAAGAACCGTCTCCACATATCAGCAACAGTCACTCTCTAGTAGTCAGTATCCGACGGCGACGACGACGACGACGACGACGACGACGACGACGACGGCGGCAGCGGTGGCGGCGGCGACAGCGTTGAGGTCGCCCGCGGGCGACCGTCGGGGTCCCAGCCGCGCCACTCCGTCCGGGGCCTTCCGCGCGCCCGGGGCGGCAACACCCAGGTGGCGCCGAGCCCGTCGGCGCGCTCCTGGCAGCCCACGGCGCGCGACTTCGGGGCGCGGTGGTGGGCAGCGGACGCGGGGCCGCCAGAGCTTGCCTCCTCCTCCTCCTCCTCCTCCTCCTCCTCCTCCTCCTCCTCCTCCTCCTCCTCCGCCTCCGCCTCCTCCTCCGCCTCCGCCTCCTCCTCCTCCTCTCCGCCTCCTCCGCTCCTCCTTCTCCTCCTCCTCCTCCTCCTCCTCCGCCTCCTCCTCCTCCTCCTCCGCCGCCCTCTCCTGGAAGGCCGAGGCCGAAGGGCATCCCGAAGCTCTCCGAGGGCCCCCGAGGGCCGCCTCCGAGGGCCGTCCTTCCGAGTGTCCGCCGAGCGCTCCGCGTGGCCGGCGCCCCCCAGAAGAGCCCACGAGCGCCGCCCGAGGACCGCGCCGCCCAAGGACCGCGCCGCCGAGGACCGCGCCGCCGAGCTGCCCGCCGCGCCGCCCGCCGAGAGCCCGCTGGCGGCGGGCCGCTCCGTCAGATGGATTGGGTTTCCACCGCTACCATATGCAGGACGTGGGAGAAGGGAGGATGAGGAGGTCCTCCTCCTTGCTCCTCCTCCTCCTCCTCCTCCTCTTCTTCTTCTTCTTCTTCCTCCTCCTCCTCCTCCTCCTCCTCCTCCCCTCCTCCTCCTCCTCCTCCTCCTCCTCCTCCTCCCCTCCTCCTCCTCCTCCTCTCCTCCTCCTCCTCCTCCCCTCCTCCTCCTCCTCCTCCTCCTCCTCCTCCTCCTCCCCTCCTCCTCCTCCTCCTCCTCCTCCTCCTCCTCCTCCTCCTCTCCTCCTCCTCCTCCTCCTCCTACCCATGGCAATGGCGGTGGAAAACGAGCCCCTCACCGTCGGGTCCTGCAGCCGGGCCTGCAGCCGCCGCCGCTCGCGCTCCTCGGCCTGCTCCCGCCGGTCGCGCTCCTCGTGCTCCAGGCGCCGCCTGGGGCGCCCGTCGCCGCCGTCGGTCGGCGTCGGCGTCGGCGTCGACGAGGAGGACCGCAGATGGACAAAAAAGTGGAACCCTTGACACCACGCCCCCCCCCCTCCCCCCAATTTCAAAGTTGGCCTCAGGCATTTGGCAGCACAGGCGTGAGGGGACAAAAAGAGTGGAACCCCCAGGGCCTCCGAGGGGCCGAACCCAACTTTGAAATTGGGAGGAGGGGGGGGAGCGAATGCGGGGCCGAAGACGAAGGTGTTCCATTTTTTTTTGTCCCCTTGCCGGAGGGGGCACAGCGCATGGCGCAAAATATCTGTTCTGTAACACAGCGGATCCGCCATCCGCACAGCGGGCAATGAGAGAGGCGAATCACCATGGATACAAGGAGGTCGTGCACGCGGGCGTCGCCCCGGCCAACCCGGCCCGCTGAGCGGGCTACGGAGGACAAGACTCCGAAGGCACATGAATCGGCTCACTGCTTGAGCACCCAAGTGATCCAGTCGTGACGCACGCGCGGGAAGGCCTGCGTGAAAACGAAGCTGAACAGAAACGGCGAGCATCATCCCGAGCGACTGGCATGCAAAGGGCCCACCTTGTGCTCAGAGTATTAATGGCGGGCCTTCCCCGGAACGTTCTAGAAACATGTTTTTCGCTAGCCCGACACACTCACAGCGTCCACTCCGCCGTGTTGTCACACGCGCATGTCCAGCGCTCGCGGACGTAGCTTTGTGGATGCCATGACACTGGGCACTCTAACAATCCTATCATTGAATTAAAAATGTGTTTAAACTGTGTAAAACATGTTCTAAACATGTTTTAAACTTGTTCTCTAAGGTTTAAAAAGTGTGTAACACATGTTTTAGACATCTGGAAACAGTTTGGCAACATGCCTCCTCTCCATCGATCGTCCTCCACAAACCTAGCTGAGGGCCCCCCCCCGCATTGCTCGCAGCGCCCGCCCTCGGGCTCCTCCCCGCTGCTCTCCGTCGGGCTCCGAGCTGCCAAAAGAGGGCCACAGCGCGCGTCGCCACGCGCGCACCGGCCGAGCCCGCCGGCCTGCGCGTAGCCACGGACCGGGTAAACTCCCGGCACAGGGCCGGGTTTGTGCACGTCCCAGTGGGCAAGGGCAGCAAGGGCACTGCAGACCTCGGCGAGCGGAACTGCCACCTCATCGAGAGGGACGGCCAGCACATGCACATGAAGGCGCACGTCTGCGACGTCCGCAAGCCGTTGCTCGGCGTGGCGGAGATGAACGCCATCGGCGTGGACGTCCACTTCTTCGAGCGCACCAGAAGAGTCCGCCGGGTGGGTCGTCCTCCTCTTGGCCATGCCCGGCCGAGCCACGCGCGCACCGGCCGAGCCCGCCCGCCTGCGCCGCCACGGACCGGGTAAGCTCCCGGAGCTGCTCCTCGAGCGCACCAGAAAAGTCCGCCAGGTGGGTCGTCATCATCTTGGCACTGCTCCTCGAGCGCACCAGAGAGAAGTCCGCCGGGTGGGTCGTCGTCCTCTCGGCCATGCCGTCGCCAGTGTCCACGGCCCGCCGCTCGAGGGCGACGGAAGCGCGGACGAGTCCCGCCGCGGCGTGGCCGCCAGGAGCGCCCGCAGCTCCCTGCAGGCCTCCTTCGCGCGTGCGGCCCGCATCGGACCCGCGCGCGGCTCGGTGGAGTCCTTCTTGACTACCTACCAGACCACCCCAACCCAACCCGAAGACCCGAATTTCGGGTTGGGGGGGGGTACGGGTTCCACATGCGTTTTTTCGATGTTTCCCGACCCCCCCCCCACTGGAAATCGAGGGTAAATCTGAGCCTTCGGGTTGGGTTGGGGTGGTTTGGTTGGTCTGTTTCCCCATGGTGCGCGAAATTTCGCCGAGACTGGTCTCGCGCGTCCTCGACAGGAGGACGCCCGCTTCGTCCCTGCTCCGCCGTCGGCTGCTGCAGCTTCGCGAACTGCGCGTCCGTGTAATTACGCCGTGCCCTTCAAGACCTCCTCCCGTCCCTGCTCGAGCAGGGAGCGCTGGGCCCGCTCCATCTGCTCGACGTTGTCGCGCGTCTCCGAGCCGATGGGGGCCATCCCAGCGCTGATCACCTTTGCACTCGGGAGGTCGGCCGCATATTTCTGGATCTCGGAGGTGATGCCATGCTGCGCCGCGAGAGGCTCGGCGCGTAGTCCCGCCGTCCCCTCAGCTATGATGTCCCCTGCCCTCTGCCACGTCGACGAGGTGGTCGCAGCAACGGGCCTCCAACTTGCGCAGCTCCTCCATGCGCACGTCGAGCACTCCCAAGAGGTCCTCTTCCAACTTGCTCGGGTGGATGAAGACCGCGTTCATCATGCTCGTGATGGTCCCGAAATCCCTCTTACTGGTGCTCCACCACCCGCGCCGTCTGCTGGGCGTCCCAGGCTTCAGGGAGAAGCTCGGCGAGAGCCCGCTCGATCGTGTCGCACCTTTCCTGCAGCACTCCCAAGGCTTCGCGCCCTTTCCAGAAGTCAGCCCATAAGTCAAAGCATGAGACCAAATCAACACCAATGCGTTCAAGGACAAGCTCGGAGAGACCCCACTGATCGTGTCGCACCTTTCCTGCAACACTGCCAGGGCTTCGCGCCCTTCACAGAAGTCAGCCCATACAGAGTATGGGACCAAATCAAAACCAATGCGTTCAAAGAGAAGCTCGGAGAGCGCACGCTCGATCGTGTCGCACCTTTCCTGCATCACTGCCAGGGCGTCGCGCCCTTCCCAAAGTCAGCTAAAAAATCAGCAGATGAGACCAAATCAACACCACTGCTGAGGAGGAGGAGGAGGAGGAGGAGGAGGAGGAAGAGGAGGAGGAGGAGAATGAGGAGGGAGGAGGGAGGAGGGAGGATGAGGAGGAGGACCAGTGCAAACCTAAGACTCATCAACGATGTTGGAATACAATTGGATCAAGCTCCCACTTCATAGGCCCCTACGAGTATTATCTTCCACTGAGGCATGTGCCCAGTGAGGAGACAACCGTTTGAAGATGCTGATGTAACTGTTGAAAACGAATGTGCGCGGCGCTATGGCGAGAGCCACAATTGAGAAACGGTCCACCCTCCATCGGTAAAACGGTTGCCAATTTCTAAGCTTCACGATGATACATGGTAAGGAAATCTCAGGCGAAACGCCCAACTGACCCTTCCGACTGGCCTCGGGGTGCGACAGGGAGGAGCTATGTATAAGTAAGAGAGATGGAGGAGGAGGAGGAGGAGGAGGACGATGATGATGATGATGATGATGATGATGATGAGAGGAGGAGGAAGAGGAGGAGGAGGAGGAGGGGGGAAGTGAGGGGGAGGGGGGAGAGAATGACCCATGGACTGTGACCCATTAGGTAAGGTTCCCGCCTATATGCGGGCGCTCCTTTCTTCTGCGAGCGCCTCTCTCCTCCTCCTCCTCCTCCTCCTCCTCCTCCTCCTCCTCCTCCTCTTCCTCCTCCTCCTCCTCCTCCTCCTCCTCCTCCTCCTCCTCCTCCTCCTCCTCCTCCTCCTCCTCCTCCTCCTCCCCCTCCTCACAATTACACAATATGAATACTACTCTCCTCTCTCCCCTGGTGACGTCCGGGGATTGTTCGGCCCCCCTCCGCGCACTGGTTTTTTACACACAGGATTCCCGGGATTTGGGTTTTCGCTTTGCTTGTCTTCAAAATGCTGCTCTCTCTGAAGCACTGGCCTGCTTTTCCAGCTTCCGCTCGTTCCGAATCGTGCTCCATCTGCAGCGCTGGACTCGGCGCTCCACGACGGCCCCAGAGGCCCTCAAGACCGCCTTCAGACGGCCCGTCAGGCCCCCGAGGTGGTCCCAAGAAGGCCCGAACACGGGTCAAGAGAGCCTCAAGATAGCCCAAGAGGCCTCCAAAAAGGCCCCACGAAGGGGACCACGAACCGAAACTGGCTTCGGTCCTTCAAACAATTCCCCAAAATCTGCAAAATACCCCCCCGAAACAACCATCGGAAGTGATTACACACTCGGTGTCGATTCATTGGTTTTTGGGGTCGCAGAAGCCTCCCCCACTTTGGGGCGTCGCCACGCCATGCTATGTCAGGCTACGCGCTGATCTTCAACACCGTGCTATCCAATGTAATGCTATGCCCTGCTACGACATCCGACTGTGCGAATAGAGAGGATATCTACGCCATGGGAAGGGATGGGAGCGAGGGGTAGGACGTCAGATATGACCCGAGCGCACCTAGCTTGCCCTCCTCCCCCTCCTCCTCGTCCTCCTCCTCCTCCTCCTCCTCCTCCTCCTCCTCCTCCTCCTCCTCCTCCTCCCCCTCCTTCTCCTCCTCCTCCTCCTCCGCCTTCTCCCCCCCCCTCCTCGGAGAGGAGGCAGCAGAGTCGTACCGCCATTCTGAATGTCGACATATGGTTATGCGGTCGAACCGTTGTTTCCACGGCTGGCCGCCGGAACGAGGGCCCCGAATATCGTGATGTCGTGACAGACATGGCCCCCGTCAGCAACACGCCCCGTCGTGCAAACGAGCCCGGCCCAGACCCGGCGGGCGCAGGCGCAGGACCCCGGGCGCAGAACGCAAAAAGGGCAGCTCGCTCGTCGGCTCGTCCGGGTGGGGGTTCTCTCAACCTCCGATTCTGGCGCTCCCCTCTGCAAAAATGCGAGTGGATGTAGCGGTTCAAAAAGAAAGGATCCTCCAAGTCTTCCTGCACATATTCCGCCTCCCTCTTTCCCCAGTGGTCCCCAAAGGCCCCTGGAGGTCATCGGAGGCCTCCCATAGGCCACAATGTGTCCCCAAAGCGTTTGATAACCTTGATCCCCCATTATCCTGCATGGACGCTCCCCCTCGGACACAGTGGTGGAATGACATCAAGCCGCTAGGGACTGGCGAAAGGGGCAATACTGGAGTGGAACGGCAAGAGCAACAACACCCATGTGCCGCCAAACCCGTACGCAGCATGTGCGCGGACACTCGCCTTTGTCCCTGGCCAGCTCGGCCCTGCAGTGTTCGATCCTCGCTCTCATCTTCCAAATGTTCCTCCTCCCCCCTCTTTTTTGCAACCTCCATATTCGCCAGCGCTTGGGGAGAAGCCAGCTTTGGCGGAAACAGCGGCTGGTTCCCGAAGATGGGTGGTGCCGCTCTCTTGTCCGTAGCCTCTAATGCTCGAGGTTCCGGCGTGTGCACGAGTGCTCGAACACCTCTGAGTGTCCCCATCGTCGAGGGAGGCTAATGAAAAAACACTGTTTCTCATGGTGCCGCAATAAAATATCCTTCTTCTGTTCAAAAACGCGGCATTGATACGTGTTCAGAGCTCCACGCGGCTGTCTTTCTCGGGTCAGCGCTGGACCCCCGTCCCCGAGGCGCGCGGCGCGCGCTGGACGCGGCGCTGGAGGCGCCGCCAGGGGTGGCGAGGAGGGCTCAAGCGCCGACCTCCCAAAGTTCGTGTCTGCATAATTCTTGTAGTTTGATCCTCCTCCTCCTCCTCCTCCTCCACCTCCTCCTCCTCCGCCTCCTCCTCCTCCTTCCCCTCCCCCTCCCTGTCCTTCCCCCTTCTCCTCCTTCTCGTCCCTCCTCATCCTCCCTCTCCTCCTCCTCCTCCTCCTCCTCCTCCTCCTCCTCCTCCTCCTCCTCTCCCCTCCTCCTCCTCCTCTTCCTCCTCCTCCTCCTCCTCCTCCTCCTCCTCCTCCTCTTCCTCTTCCTCTTTCCTCCTCCTCCTCCGTCTCCTCCTCCTCCTCCTCCTCCTCCTCTAATCATCATCATCATCATCATCATCATCATCATCATCATCATCATCATCATCATCATCATCATCATCATCATCATCATCATCATCATCATCATCATCATCATCATCATCATCATCATCATCATCATCATCATCATCATCAGCATCATCATCATCATCATCATCATCATCATCATCATCATCATCATCATCATCATCATCATCATCATCATCATCATCATCATCATCATCATCATCATCATCAGGGGGAAAACAAACCTACCTCGCTTTTGACCACCCTCGCTTCCAAGAGATACCAAACGATGCCACATTGCAGCCTGTACTGGTCAGGCCGCTTGACGAGGAGGCGCGTGGTATGACTTGGTTTTGCCTGGAAGCGAAAGCGGGGTAGGTAATGCACGCTCTGATCATCATCATCATCATTCTCCTCCTCCTTCCCCCCTCCTCCCCCTCCTCCCCCTCCTCCTCCTCCTCCTTCTTCTCCTTCTCCTCTTCCTCCTCCTCCTCCTCCTCCTCCTCCTCCGCCTCCCCTTCTTCCTCCTCCTCCTCCTCCTTTACTCCTGCTGCGCTTCCATGCTTTCCTCCTCCCAGACCCTCAGACCCCCAGCGTGGTTATGAGCCCATAGCATGGACCCCCAGAGGTTTGGAGCCCTTCCCCAGGACCAGCTTTTCACCCTGAGGTGCTTTGCTGGCGGCCCCTGGTCACAATACAGGGCCCCCCAAATCCCAAAATTTTAAACAACTAACTTGCTATCGTGATTGCTGTGCGCGACGCGACGGGGGACCTGAGACCCCCGCCACTCCCCGCGCTAGCGCGAGAAAAACGTGTGAACGAGGGAGCCGTCGATCCGTCGAACGACGAAATCTCTCCATCGGGAGGACATCCCCGTGCGACCGCTGGCAAGCACCACGCTCACTGTGTAGTGAGAGGCCCAAAACTTGTCTCTTGTGCGCGAACGCACCCACCCGTTCCCGTCGGCCGCCTGCGCCCTACACGCAGCGAGTGACCCTGGGCAGGAGCGCGTGGCCCCTGGTGCGCGGCATTCGGGGGCTGGAGAGGGGGTCGGACCTAAGCGCGCAGGCCACCGCTGTGGGGACCCCTGTGGGCCCGCACCGAAAGTCTCTTGGGCGCAGAACCACTCTGGCGTGCAGCCGGCTCGGGCCCGTCTTGCTTCACGGCGACATCCCCGCGTCGGGGCGCCTCGCGTCCTCCTCGGCCCTGGCCTGGGCGCGCGCCCTGTCGGCCGGCGCGTCCGCCTCGCGGCCGGCCCCCACGCCCGAGCAGCTCCCCGCCGCTCCCTGCCGCCGCCATCGCTGCTGGCATCGTCGAACACTCGCTTTTGGAGGACGATCGTTTATTCTAATTATTATTTGTTTGAGAGGGGTCTTCTTTTTAATCATTAATTTGGGCGACCGTCGGCCTGGCCAGGATCTGGCATGAAAGCGAGGCTCCCGCTCGAGCGCGAGCTTCGTTCCAAATTTCAGCCCCTGAAGGCCTGACTGCGACGACAACGGCTCCTGCTCGATACTACCTCCTCGCAACTTGTTTCCAGAAACCCTGGCCAGTGACGGCCCAAGACTCAGGAACGGCGCTGTCGCTCGAAATTCAACCGGAAGGCGGTTGGAGCCCAATTCACGTCGTCGTCAATTCTACCATTCGATACTTCCTCGCAATTCACTCCGAGGCGCCTCGGTCAGAGACGCCCCCGCTCTCAGGAATGGCACTATCGCCTGGAACTTCCTCGCAATGCACTTGGGCTGGTGAAGCCCCAACTGCGACGACAGCGCGAGTGAGCGAGAGCGAATCTGAATGTGAGCGCTGATGCTTGCCGTCGCTTGCTGATATGTGCCGCTCGCTGCTGCTCAGTGCTGCACTGAGCTGCTCTCTGATGTCTTCTTAGCCACTCTCTGCATCTCGTTTTCGCCACCCGGAAAGCACGCAGTCTGTGTGCCCCAGCCGGCCAGGAAGGTGATAATGAATCCGTCCTCCCTTGGACCTGAAAGGGCGCCAGACGGAAAATCGCGATCTCTATCTGCAGGGCAATGCCATTAGAGGAACATCGCATCTCCCTCGCCCTTCCGTATCCACGAGACAGGTTCTCGGCAGATACCTCTTCGATGGAGAGGCGGCGACAGGCGGCGTCGGCCAACAGAAGAAAAGGGCGCGAGCGGCGGCAGGCAGGCAGGCAGGCGGCCCCCCTCCGGGAAACTTTCTGGCTGCTCGACAGGCGCGCGCGCGCAGCTATCTTGCAAGCGCGGCGGGCCTCGCCGATGACCTTCTTGCGTTCCAGCATCTCGTTCGCTGGCGCCAGGCACAAGGCGCGCTTCGTCGTGCGCCCCAGGAGGCAGCTACGTTCCGACTCCGTCTTGGTGAGAGAGTCGACCAACATCGGCTTGGTGTTGATCCACTTCGCGGCCAACACCTAGTCGACCCTGTCACTGTCATCCTGGCTCGTGCTCGTGTAGCCCATGAACTGAACCCCTTTGTCGTCTGCGCCATCAAGATGCTGGCCGCCGTCCTTCCAGGCATGATGAGAGGCCTCCAGCATCAGGCACGATCGCAACTCTCCTGTCGTCAGCGAGCGAGTTGAAATCGAGGCTGGCGGAACCTGCGTTCCTGATCCCCTCGATCACAAGATGGCACGCTCCAGCGCATGAATAGCGGCGGTCTCCTCGCCCATCAGCTGCGGCTCTGCAAGGCCAATCAAGAATCCACACTGCCACTGGGTCCTCTGGCCGAGGGTCGTCGTCCACGTTGCCGCGGCTGCTGTCGCCGCAACCGAACGCGATCGCCTTGTCCCAATCGAGGTCGGGCGTAAAAGTGGCCCTGAACTCGCTGTCGCCCTGAGCTATCTGGATCGCCTTGTTAACGTTCACGATGTCTCGTGCCCTCGGGCCACTCGTGGACTGGGCCCAGAGCGAGGCGCGCGCAAAAGTCAGGTCGGGCCTGACGCGCGGCCCACCTAAGCGAGCCAACTCTACTCCGTAGTCCAATGATCTCCTCTGGCGTCAGCGCCGATTTGGGCTGCTTCCTCCGGCGCGGCTCGAGGTGGATGTGCTCCAGCGCGCGCGCAGCCTTCAACTGGCCGATCTCGATCTTGACGGCGTCGCCCCACGTGACGTCCTTGCCGCGGTGCCTGAACTGGCCGCGCTTCATGGCCAAGCGGGTCTTGATTTCGATAGCCCCCATGATGCCGTCGAATTCGTGGCCCGCGCCCGCGACGAACAGGTCGCCGACTCGAGTGCAGAGCAAGCCGATGAGCTTTCCAGGCGCGCTCTTAGCATGAACGGGCAGGGCTCGTAGAGCGACTCCTTCCAGCCATGCCCCGTCAGTATCGCGCTGAGGTGTAGCTCCCGCTGGCACCCGGCGCCCTCGGCGCCGTAGATGGCGCCCCTCGCTGGCATGAGCGCCCCCGGTGGAACTCCCGCGGCGGAGGCCTCGGAGCCTCGATGACCAACGTGCGTTCGACCCCCTTCTACAGCGGGTAGGCAGCGGCCGCGTTGGCTGCGGCAATATTCCAGCGGCGCTGCGCGGCACAAGACGCCGAGGCAAGCAGGCTGGCAGTTGAGGCGCCGCCTCGCACACCGAGCCCGCGCTCTTGGCGACCTTGGGCAACAAGGCAGCTCCTGGCTGCAAGAGGGGATGTCGCCCGTGGCCTGGCGTGGCCTGCGCTTCCTGGCATTCTTGTCGGTGCGCATCCATCTGGCGCCGACTGGTTGGACCTCCTGCTTGGTGAGGTTCGCGACCTGGGTATCGTCGAGTACCTGCGCTGCTTGAAACGCCTGCCAGCTACTCCACTCCTTATCCACGGCTAGATCAAAATCTCGGCGTAACTCTGGCGAAAGGTCCTGCAGCCTGCTATCAGATCTTACGGCCCCCTAGGTGAGGTAGGCGAACTCCACGCGGTCGCTGGTCCAGATGTCGTCGTCATTATGCGTGACATTCGCTTCGATGGATTGGGCATCCGATGGCAGGGCTGCGCGTGGACTTCGGCGTCCGATAGGTAATTAAGCCACGGACGCCGATGTCTTCGATCACCTCGCCGGTCTTGACATCCTCAGCGATGCCGCGCAGCACCTAGGACCAAAGAGGTCCACGGACACCCGTTGGGATGCAGCTCGCGCTGCCGTAGTTCGCGCACCTCCGCTCGTCGGCGCTGGCGTCGTCGACCGCGTAGTCGCCAAAGTAGGATTCGTGAAGGCACTCCTCCATCACGCGAAGCTCCTCGCCCACGCTGGCCTGGAACGTCTTGAGCTTCTTGGCGAGCCTCAGGCCGACCAGTCGAGTAGGGTCTCGATGTGATGCTTGCTGTAGCGCCGCCCGGTTGGCACCCCCTGGGCCATCGAGCTCTGGGCAGTCCTGGGGCACGCGCGCCGTGGGTTCTCGCGGCGCCTCGGCGGGCCGCGGCCAGGGTCACGTGACATCTGGTCGCGCATGATCGCGCTGACCGCCAGGCCCAGGCACTGCCGACCCCGGGCGCGAGTCCAGGTGGTTTTTCTTCTTGGCACAGGCCCTCCGTCACGGGCTGGATCAGCGGATCCTCGATGGCCAAGGAGATAGGCGGTGGGTCGTCGCGCTCGGGGAAAGGTGGCGCGCGCGGGGCGGGCCTCCATCTTCTTGATCATCCTCGTCGCTATGATCGTTATCATCATGCGGCTGCGCGTTATCATCATGATGTGGCTGCGCTGGTAGCGGGGCCCCGCCGTCTCCTGCCGCTGTCGCTGCTGCCGCCGATGGCGGCGGCGGCGGCGGCGGAGCGACTGGCCCTGCCACTGCCAATGCTTGCGGCGGCGCGGGCAATCTGAGCACCCCCCCGCGACCGCTGGCGCGCCCCTGCGGCGCGGGCACTCGTCAAGGAAGATCGCCTGCCAGAGCGGCGTCCGTGCGGATGTCGACGCAGTTGCGAGCGCCCTTGGCGTTCACGGCGCCGAGCAAGTCGCGAATCGCAATACTTCTGCCGCTGCCAGCGCGGTCGCGAGGCCGCAGCGTAGCCAAACTGCAGGGGCATCGGTGCTGACGGTCTCGGCGACGTCCTCGGACAGGTGCTTCGGGTCGCGCGCCGCGTGTTCAGGGGCCCTGGCTGGGCCGAACCGCCGATGCGATCCGAGCTCCCGCCCGGTCGTACTTGAGCGTCTGAACGAACTGGCGGGAACTGGCCCCCTGACGATGCGTGTCATGCGTAGAACGACCCGTCGAACCCGATCGTCGGTGCCCATGCGAATACACGCGCTGCGGGCCGTCTCCTGGCGCTGAGCTTCGTCGTCCTGCAGCGGGCCAACTGGCACTCGTGCGCCACGAGGTCCAAAAACCCCATACGAGGGAGAGGAGCATCTTTTCTTGCCAAGCTCGTTCTGGACCCGGGCGGCCTCGACGGCCTCGAGCCCCGCGACCCAGAAGTTCTGGGCTGCGCGCCCCCAGGCCCCTTTCCAGATACCTCTATGCCTCTTGCACTTGCCGATGATGTGAGGTGTCTCGGACGGCGCCAGGTCCATCTCGACTCCGCGTGTCTTGACGTGGAAGGCGAGCTCCTGAATCCACGCCTTGCCGAAGTCAGCGGTGACCTCTCAGGCAGCCTGCCCACGATGCCCAGCACGCAGTGGCAGCCCTGGTGGTTGCCTTCGACGATGGTATGCCGCTGGCTGGGCACAGGCAGTAGACCTCCTGGAAGTTGGCATCTTCGCAGATGGTACTCAGGAAGAACACGGAGTCACCACTCGCGCCGTGCGCGTGGAACGCGCCCATCTGGATCGCGTCGTTGAACATGAACTTCCCTGGCGGCCTCGTTGGAGGAGCGGCCTCCCCGCGGATGGAATCCCCGCAGGAGTCGCGAGAGAAGTTCTCGATGTGCTGCCGGATACCCTTCTCGACGCCTCGACGTCGCAGCATCTTGTGAGCGCGACGCTCGTGCAGTGGTGGAAATTGACGCGCAGCTGCCGCATGGCCTTCTAAACCTCGGGAGGAACCTCCAACCGCATCTTGCGCTGCTGCTCCTCCTCCTTGCTGAGAATGGGTGAGATCCTCGCTGCATCCTTCCGTCGTTCACCGTCTGGATCGGTCGGCGGCGTCACATCGGCTGTCGGATGCACCTCGGGGGCCCGGCCCACCCCTGGGCTCTCTTTGGGTGCCTCATCGGCTCCGGTTACTGCAGCTGACCGTCCAGCTGGTCGTTGGCATGGTGCGCCCCCTGGGCGCGCGCGGCGTTTGGCCCTGACCGGGCCTCGTAGGTCGGGATCTCGTTGCCCCTCGGCGCTGGCAG